GATTAACAGCCTTGTGGAGTACATCGCCTGAAAGCTGCATCCTCAGGATGATTCCCACCTGTCCAGTCACATCAACCCCACCAAGCACATCAAGCGGACCATCATGAATCAAAGACACAAGTTTCTTTTTTTTTTATTTGTTGTTGTTGTTACCTGCTCGCTGTCAGCAGTAGTTATTTGAGGAGGAGGCAATTCCCCGATCGGTTCCGTGGATCCAAGTTAAGTTTCCCATCCATGGCACGTCTCAGACGGAGAAGTGGGGAGAGAAGAGAGCCTATTATTCATTCAGGGTTTGTGCTGCGCGCGGATTCTTCTCCCCTTTCCGCTGGTGTTAATACTCCCTCAGGCATCCCACTTCTACGAGTCCCAAAGCAACCAAAACGGGAAAGAAAACAAAGCAAACAAAAAAAAATGTAGGAGAGGGTTAGTGAAAGTGTAAAACAATAAATAAATAAAGCAAAAATGAGGAGTAGAAGCTAAAAAGATGGAATGGGAATCAAACGAAAGCGCAAACCAAGATAAACGCAAAATCTAAAAGTATAAAAAAAAGGGGGAAAAAAAAAGAAAGAAGAGGTTGATTTGTACGTGTCCAGATTTGTTCAAAGCGTAAATCCACGTCATATAATCTCCATGGTTTGGTGCAGAGAAGCGCACGGTATATTCCACGGCGATGGGAGGACGCGCTCACAGTCACAGCAGCAGGAAGAGGAGCGGAGTGGGAAGAGGGCTTTTTCTCTAATGATGTCCGGTACTCCAAGTCCAGAGAAGATCTTCATTTGAAGCAGACGTTTAAACGGAGAGAGCGAGGACACAGTGTGGGGTGGGTGGAAAAAAGAAAAAAAAAATCAGACAAGCATTTTTCCCCCGGAAAAAAAAAAAACCTTTTTGTCTTTTCTTTTACTCCGTTTTTTTATACTGTGGCTTTCCCCCTCCTCTCCTCGTCTGGTTGGGTTCTGTCTGCCTGCTCGGCTCTTCGGGACGGGGATCCACAGGCGAGCAGCTCGCAGTTGGGCATCTGGCTCCCCTGCAGTCGTTTCACGCGCAGGAGGAGAGAGATGCGCGCGCCCACGCTCCAGACGGGGATCCGTCAGGCGCGTTCACGATGGAACCCTCCTCCCCGCACACAAACACACTCACACACGCGCGCGCATGTTTCTCTCTTCAAACACGTAACTCCTGCTCTTCCTACCTCCACTGACGTCAGACAAGTTTTCAAATATGCACATATGATGAAAAAGAATAAAGTATATTTGTGATAAATTTGAAAATATTGCAATTACAGTCTATTTTTTTATTTGATGTATAGGGAAGCGGAATATTTGATATTTTGAAGGAGAGAGAGAGAGAGAGAGAGAGAGAGAGAGAGAGAGAGAGAGAGAGACCTCCATCCTACTATTATGACATGTCATTTTTGGTTCAGGATGGTAGGGTGGAACAGGAGATGGAGCAACAGATTGTTGCCTCATCCTCAGTAATGGAAGTGTTGCTTTGGTCAGTCATGATAAAGAAAGAGCTGAGTCAAAAGGCAAAGCCCTTGATTTACTGATCTATGTTCCAACTCTCACCCATGGTGATGAGGTGTGGACTGTGACCAAAAGACGAGATCCCAGATACAAGCAGCCAGAATGAGACTTCTTGGGGTGATTGGGCTCAACCTTAGGGTGTGTCTCAATTCATGAGCTGCATCCTCACAAGTGCACATTTGTTGGCCGTGTAAAAGTTATGTACAGTCAATTTCTTACCTGTTGTACAAGTCCTATTCTATAAAAAAATGTTCAAAATGTAAATCAAAACATTTGCAAAGTTCTCACAATCATATTTATTTCACCAATTGTTTTAAACCTACTCTCACCTATGGCCACAATTAGGTGATGACTGAAAAAGAGTTCTCTCCACAGGGTAGCTGGACTCTCCCTTAGAGAGAGGGTGATGAATTCAGTAATCCGGGAGAAACTCAGAGTAGAGCTTTTGCTCCTCCACACCGAGAAGAGACAGTTTAGGTGGTTTAGGCATCTAAGGATAAGGATATCTAAGGTAAGGATGTTCCCTGGACACCTCCCTTGAGAGGTGCTACATGCATAAAATAAATGTTGTATTTGATGGCAGGAACACATTAGTTTACTGGATGATTACTTTGATTTTACCTGTTAAGTATTATGCAAAATCAATCTTTTTGAGCTTTATATCCTGTTATGACATTCCGCATGTTTCAAAAATCCTTGAATCTTCTGTTGTAGCCATGTGGAGCTGCCTAAACACCTGCTGGTACCAATCATAATCTATTTGTACCTAGCTCCTCCCTTCTTTCCCCAGCTGAACTCCCAGCCTCCCCCAAAGCATTGCTGTGATGATGTGCTGAAGTGAGTGTTGTAAATGGTAGGAGCTTCTTAAAGAGACAGGTCAATTTCAAGGCGTTTAGATGGACTATAATCCAAAGTCTTTTTTAACATATAAAGCCTTGTTATGACAAATGAAGGTAACAATGTGTCTGGAAATATATATACTCCCTTTTAAGGTCTTCCTTCTTGGTTTGGCTCCACTCATAAAGATCTAAGGTTGGGACTGATCATGTTGCCAGCAGGCACGCTAGTGGCTGACAAGGTCTTTTCTGGAGAGGCAAGCTTTGCCGTATCAGGATTTCAGAAATGGTCAAAGGTGAGCAGCAAGCGACAAACAAACTTAGGAGACTAGGATTTCAAAATTAAGTGATTTCATTTACATGTCAGGAACAGGGGGTCCAGTGCTGCAAAGGGGAGGACAGATGATGGTGAGTTCCAATTTACAGACGAGATTGGTTTTATCAAGATGATTAAACAGGATTTTCTTACAGCACAGAGAGGAGGGTGTGGCTCCGAGGAGAGGGTCCAGTTTCCAAAGGTGAGTTTATACTGGCGAGTATATACAGGTGAGTCCATGAAATGTTTACAGGTTCCAGTAATGGTCGGAGACAGACAGGCAGCAGCACGGAGGGGATCAGGTGAGCGGCTCTCAGCTAATATCCTTAACAGGTTGACGGGGACACAGATCACTCAGGAGATCTTCTCTGCACTCAGGTAAGTAAACAAAGCAACAACGATTAACAATATTCTTGAAGGGGCTGAGGTGCTTTACCCTAGAGCATGCGATGCATCAGCGAAGATCCAGTCTTCTGAACAGCTTTAAGAACCCTGGGAGCTGATGATCCTGATAAGCAGCAGCTGCGGTGAGGTTGTTGACCAGTTAACAAATTAACAGGAGCAAAACAGCTAGGGAGGTCCATGTGTGTGTACCAATGTAGCGTGTGGTTAGAAATGTCTTGATGAGGTATTTATACATCTTCTTTGGGGCGCCTCTATTGCAATGCCTAGAAGACCGTTCACCATGCAGTATGACCTTAGGTATATCTTCCATTCTAGACACACGCCCTGTCCTGTGCAGTAGTGACTAAAAGAAGCATGGCCTTAGTACTGGTGGTCTCTGTCTGCTGGAGGACTAAGATGTTGGTTATATAATCGGTCCAGTGGTTGTCAAGGATGGAGTCCATCCTTAACTCAATGAGTTGGAGTGGCCTTTGGTATGTCACCCATTTCAGAGTCATACAAGAGGGTGGTTAGTACCACTGCTCTGTATACTCTGACCTTTGACCCTGTCCTCAGGTATTTGTTTGACCAGATGTTTTTATATGTGTATGTCTATCAAAAGTACTGTTTGCGTTTGTCAGCCTGTTATTAATTTCGTCAATATGGGTGTCTGCTAAAATTAAGATATGTGAACTGATTCACAGCCTTCAGCTCAGCTTTGTATATATTAATATATGGTGTATGGTACAGTTCATTGGGTGGTGGCTGATCGAGCACTTCAGTCTTCTTCAGACTCACTTCCAGGCCAAACTGTTGAGCAGCCTTCGCAGGTCACAACTTGCTGCATGGCTGGTTCTGCATGGGTAACAAGACCAGCATCATCAGCAAACAGAACATTGCAAATTAGCTGCTCTAAAGTCTTGGTGTGGGTCAGCAGGTGATTAAGGTTGAATAGGCTGCCATCCAAGCGATAGTGAATAAAGATGCCATCGCCATGGTTGAGATCCTACATGGCTTGTTTCAGCATCAGGCTAAAGAAAATGGAGAATGTTGGAGCCAAAACACAGCCCTGATTGACACCACTGGCAGTGGAAAGGACTCAGACTTGAGTTTTACTGGCCTTTAAATATTTTCTAGGAAATTATAATGGCACATATGAAAAGTAGTGTCAAAATGGAAGACACTATAATGGTTTAAACTGAATTGTTTGAAATAGCCTCTATTAAAAAAGTGCTGATTTTATTTTATTTTATTTGTTACCTCTGCCAAAGGAGGAGGTAATGGTTTCGGTTGCGTATGTCTGTCTGTCTGTGGACAAAATTACTCAAAAACTTATGGGCGGGTTTTCATGAAATTTTCACCACAAGTGAGTATTGGCCAAAGGAACACACCATTAAATTTTGCTGATGATCTGGATCACAATCCGGACCCAGGAACAGCCAATCAGCTTCAAGGAAGCTGACCGTAGACTTACAATCACATTGGATCATTCGTAGATGGGTCAGCTCCCCGACTGTAGACGTCCAATGGGATTGTCTGAAGTGGTGTAGAAGACCAATCACAAAGGCACTTGGAAATAAAACTTTAGACCGAATTGTTTTTAAGTCGAAAAACTTACTGTTTGAAGTTACTTTAAAGTAACAACAGATCATTATCATAAGACATCGGCCTGCGCATCCTAGCAATTTTGTATTTTGTGTTCACATTTTTGGAGTTTTTTTACCCCCACCTGCTTCGGAAAGGTAAACATGCTAACTCACACCACCCCCACCCCATTCAGGTCTGTTATCCAAGATAATGCTAAGGTTTTCTTAAACAATTGTGTTTATCAGTTATTTTATGGTTAAATGTTTTAGTTTTTCTGATGCTGTTCCACTCCTTCTGTTGCATGTAATTTATTACGTGTTTAGTCATTGTAAAGCACTTGTACACAAACACACATATGACTAAAAATTTAATAAATCACTCACAAAACAAACACACACACTCACACGCATACGGCCTTGGTGGAGGTTTGCGCTCTAGTTTGTTTTGTTTTAAGACAAAATCTGGTTGTTTGAACCAGCTATAAGCTATCAAAAGTTTTTTTTTTTCTGTTTTGAAACAACTGTAGCCTTCAAAGTTTTATAGCAGTTCATGACAACTTTAAGTAATGAAGTGAACTTTTACTTCACCATCAAGTTTGTATTTCACCATAATTTGTGACAACTAAATGAAATTCCTGCCAAAGATGACTCCAGGCTGCATCCCTGCATACAGACAATTGTTTATGGATTAATTAACATGGTGTAAAGCTTTGCAAAACAATGTGTCATTGAACTTTAATGAAATTACCGAGTTTGGAGTAGTTTGGACACCAAAGAAATTGATTTGGTCGAAAATGAGTTGAATCTCTAAAAGAGCTATCCACAACAGGTGAGATGTTTGTTTAAAACTTTCACACAGATCATAATTTCAAAATGGTCAGTATTGTTTTATTTATTTATGTCAAAAGTACACCATCACAGAGCCTTTAGTAAAACAAAAACAACTTTCAGTCATAACAGAAATTTGACCAACATAAGCTATGTCTGCATTTCCAAAGAAACCTGCACTGGTTTTTAAATATCCAAATGATCACATCTTAATGTTTTAGTATTTCATACAGAGCTATTTTTATTTATTTATTTCTGATTTCTATGCAGTTCCCTAGACAGTAGATGATCTGATTAGACGTTGGGTCTCTTTTGCTGCATATATTTGCATAAGGACGCAAAGAAGTGACGGTACATTAGTCAACTCAAGTGGTTCTTTTGACGGCTTGGGTGCTGAAGGAGGAGCCACAGCAGTGCGGCTCCACAAGTGCTGACAGATTGCTAAGCATCCGTATATTCAGCCGGTATAAATATTTAAAGTCTCCCACACTTCTACAACTAGTCATCCAGCCTTAGTCACTTAGTGAAGGAGGAGGCAGAGTGATAATGTTTTTCACCCGTGAGTATTTTTGTGTCTTTACCTTTTATTAAATTATCTCATGAATTTCTGAACAGATTTTAATGAAACGTTTACAGGGG